CCTTTGTTCCCCGAAGGATCGATATGGTTATGGATTAGTACTTCGAGCTATTGTAGATTATCTCTGCGACAATTAGTGGTGGATGCGGCGTTGGTTTGAATGTCAGGTGGCCTCTGCAGTCTGAGGGGTGGATATTTGAAGATTGGGTTCCATTCGAGCGGGTTGCTCAGTGTGGAAACATGATTTTTATGGAAGTTGTTAGAGCCGGGGGGAAACATTTTGCGTGTAAGTGTTGATCTTCTGCAAGGTTGCCTTGGGAGATCGGTGATGGCGATCGGTGATTAATTGTCAGTGCCTTAAGTGGGGGAGAATTGGAAATTCTCCGGATGGTCGTTAGGCTTGAGGTTGCTTAGCTGCTTTGGGATTTCAGCGGTATTTCTTTCAGCCGAGAGCAGGCTCGTATGAGTGAGTAACAGGCATGCGGGGCGGAATACAGACCTAGGGCATTTGATTGTGGAAGGCCTGGGAGCAGGCCGGGATCGAGCATGTAAGATGGAGATAGAGTTCGGAACCCCTAGGGGGCTAGAACGATATGCATGGGAATATTTCCCGAATAGATAGCTCGGAATGATGAATGCTTGTTCAGCGGTCCGGATAGACTGAAGGCCGGTAGGCGTACCAGTCAAAGCCGAAGGCTCGGAGGATGGCCCAGTCAGATTGGCTGAAGGTTCTGAGAGCGGTCCAGATTGGCTGAAGGCCTGGGGAGGTGGTCCAGTCATGCTGAAGACTCTGGGAGTATTGTTGGATCGGTTCGAGGACATGTATCGCGTATGTTGCAGTGTGATTACATTGGGAGGTCTGGCCCCGGGTAGCGATCTTGAGCAGTGAAGGTAGTGCATGGGCTTGAGAGTCCCTACGATGAGAGCCAGAGTAGTGGTGATGTATGGATGTCGGGTACGCTTTAAAGAGGTAGTGTAGCGTGGGGTGAGCACCATAGTCCCTGTCATGGGGGACAGGGCGGACGAGTGGTTTCCTTGGTAAGGAGAGAGGGATGAATGAAATTCCGAAAGGGAGTGCGAATTCACGGAAGTGAAAGCGGTAGTGTAGAGTTATGATTGGAGTGGTCCGTCGATGGTTTTGAGTAGCGTGTTTGCGGTAGTAGAATAAAAGCTCATTCGACTTGAGATGTCTGCTCAGGGCGCGGAGGGAATTCCGCAGGCGTAGAGCCAGGGAGAGGGGTTCGGAAGGGATGCAGGGAGAGAGACTTGGACTCTCAGTGAGATTCTGATCAGGGTTTTGGGTATGTATTAGCGGTTCATCCTGGAAGGATGTTTGAGGATATCATCAGTGTATCGGGTTTTTCCAAACCTGAGGGTGCTAGAGCTAGATCAGCATGTGTGTGTGATTGCGAGAGGAGAACTCGGGGGAGTTGCTCCAGAATTGAAGAATGGGTCTTTCTGTCGTCATGGAATGGATAGAGTGGGATTCTGATCGGGGATCCGATGGTTCATGGTTTTCTAGCCATATGAGTCAAGTGAAAGATGGGAATTGGAGCAGTAAGGTATCATGGGTAATTCTCGGTTGTTGAGTGCGGCTATCGGAGGGTACAGCTGGTGCCCGGGTTGAGTAGGTGGTTAGGACACCCTATGAAAGGAAAAAGTGAGCTTCTAGTTTCTATGGTTGTGCCTTGAGGGACTTGGTCCGGTCAAGGTCAGGTGGCGCGTCGTGGGAAGTATTTTGAAGTTGAGATGTCGTAGGCTTCGAGGATGAAGCCTAATTTAAGTGGGGGAGAATTGTTACATCCCGGAATCGCAAGAGTAGAGTTGAAGGGTTAAAAGAGTAAGTTATGGAGGGCGACTCGGCGAGTCATATGGATGGACTCGGCGAGTCAGGTCGCGACTTTGGTCGCGTGTCAATTGGGCTACTCGGCGAGTCCGAAGATGGACTCGGCGAGTAGGCGCTGGGCGAAGAAAAACCCTAAATCCGGGGAATGAGCCCTATATAAAGATCATTATGTTCCTCCACAGCCTCCTTGATCCCCCCTTGAGTCCCAGAAACCCTAATTCCGTGGAGGAATCCCATTGTTGAGCAAATTGGAGCTTGGAGAGGTGTGGGATGAAGAAATCTTGAAGGAGAAGAGGCTTGGATCAAAGGGCTTTGCTTGGATTCGAGTTTCATCGCTGTTGAGGCATTCTTTGGAGGTAATACTTTCGCTCTTGGGCTGTATTTTCCTAGATTCTCATTTTGGGGTTGTGTGGGGAGCTTAGTTGTGTGACATCTTGAGTTTGAACGATGGATCTGAGGTTGCTACCTCAGATCTGAAGTGGAGAAGATCTTAAGAGCATTAAAGCCCCTGTTCTTGTGTTGTTAATGGAGCTATCATGTCCCAATCCTTAGTTCTAAGGTGAATAAGGCCTAGATCTCTTTAGATTCATGTAAAGTTTGCCACTTTACGTGATGGATGGATTGTAGGAGGTTGGATCTATGTTTTGGATCAATTGCATGGCTTGGAGTGCTTCTGAATTGATTCAGATCAGGTTGACTCGGCGAGTCACATGGGTGGACTCGACGAGTTGCTTGAAGATGGCCTGGAACTCGGCGAGTTGGAAGAACAACTCGGTGAGTAGGTTGAAGATAGCCTTAGACTCGGAGAGTTTGTTCTTGGACTCGGTGAGTATTGTCGAAGAGTCCAAATATTTCCTGCTTGAGTCGAGAATTGGTGAGTCAAGGGATGACTCGGTGAGTTGAGTGCGAGTGGACTCAGATTTGTTGGACTCGACGAGTCTTGGGGTGACTCGGCGAGTTGGGTCGCTGATTGAGGGAAGTTCTGAGCATAGGGACTCGGCGAGTCATCGAGTTGACTCGGCGAGTAGGGTCAGTCATGGGTTGACTTTGACTTTGTCCAAGGTTGACCAGTTGTCTTCCAAGGGTATTTTGGTAATTAAGGGTATTTATTGAATTGAATGTTTCGGTGTTCAGTGGAGGAGTTCATGTCAGGGTTGGAGCAGCGGGATCTTATCCTTTCAGCCGGCAGTTTCGAGGTGAGTTATCCTCACTATATCAACAGGGTCTAAGGCACCAAGGCCGGCCCTTATCGGATTGAGATCCGGGTAGTCGTTATTATTTTGTTGTTGTGATATGCCTGCATCCTGAGAGTTAGGACGGTATATGTTAGAGACCTGATTGCGATCGGTATCCTGAGAAATAGGGAGATGCTATGCTAATGACTTGTTAGGTCGGTATCCTGCTTAGAGTATATTATGCTATGTGATCTGCTAGATCGGCTTATTTGAATGTGAATTGTTATATGATTATATGTTTATGTGTACATGGTTGGTTGGACTGGAGATGGGTTGAGGCGGTCCTGCTTTGTGCTGTAGGCCAAGATACTCAGGGCGGACCGGTTATTCCGAAGGCCCAGCGAGCGGTCTGGATATGATGTAGGCCCCACGCGGGCGGACCAGACGTGCCGAGGCTCGGAGAGTGGACCAGGCCGACTGAAGGCTCGATGCGGGCGGACCAGTCATACTGTAGACTCAGAGAGTGGACCAGGTTTGTTGAAGGCCCAGTGCGGGCGGACCAACCACACTGTAGACTCGAAGGACATGACTAGACTTGGAGGATGGATCCGGTGGACTGAAGGCCCGAAACGGCGGACCAGTCACACAGTAGACCCGATATGCATGGTTGTTCTATGTTCTGTTATGTTATGTATGTTTTATATGTTATGGGCCGGAAGGAAATATGTTTTGGACCGGAAGGTCGTAGCCTGGAAGGGCGTATATGTGGTTGGTGTTTTGGGGGTATCTCACTAAGCTTTCGGGCTTACAGTTGTGGTTTAATGTTTTTCAGGTTCTTCAGGAAACTGTAGCAAGGCAAAGGCGTGATCGTACCGCTCCTGATGATTTTGAAGCAATGTGATTCTGGGAATACTCTAAACGATTTGTATTGAAAACCTTTTTGTAAACAATTTAATGAAATCGGGTGGTTTTTGAAAAATTTAAATTGGTTGTATTTTTCGGTCGTTACAATTAAACAAGATGAATTATGAAGGAATTTTTCCTCCAACAGTCAAGCAGCTACTTCCCCCTTACTAGAGATTTTTGGCTCATACTTTTGTTAGCCGCATCTCTAGAAGAAAGGGCGGGTAGGACGAAATAAGTCAAATAACAACATCAGCCTTTATAACATTGACAATGGATTGGGAGTAGGGATGGGAAATATGTGTGTTAGAGAACCAACCAACATTTTACCAACTGAACCAATTAAATCGGTAGCCAAGTTGTTTGGTAGCCAATATGTTTGGCTGGTAATACCATGCCAATTAAGTAGTATTGGTAGGGCAATGATATGAAATTTTAAATACCATCGTTGTACCGTACCAACCGATATATATATATATATATATATATATATATATATATATATATATATATATATATATATATATATATATATAAATACAAAGAAATATAAGTTCTCATATCTTCATGTTTTAATTAGAATAACAACTAACAAATCTTAGAATTACTAAACTAACACATTGACCGACAAACTTCTTCATACTTATTGGTTGATGTGCACGAGATTGGTAATACATATACTAAAACTTAAAAATGAATATTAACTTCTCATTCCTTGTACTTGTACTGTTACCATTTGTGTCCCCTAGCAACTTGCTATGGGTGGACTTCTTTTAATCCTTTTAGTGGTTTCCAAAAATAAATACTACCAGAAGCGAGTGAAGCAACAGTCAAATGTCCACAAATTAAACTTATATTCATGTATAGTATATATTAGTAAAAAATTTTGGTATATACCAAATACCAATATATACTAACAAAATTTGTTGGTAGCTAAATTAATTGGTACCAAGTACACTTGGTACGGTATTGGTAACTAAAATCTTATACCAACTATAGTTGTTACGGTACACGATTTGAAGAAAAAAAAACTCGGTACCGTACCAATTCAACCCCTAACTGGGAGTATAATTTCTAAAAAATTATTTTTGACAAAATGAGGAGCAACCATTCTGGGAAAAGGAGGATCTTTTCTTGATGTATTGTCGGTTTTTACAAATTCTCTTTGATGCCTTGCGTCCCGAGTTGGAAAGGAACCCTGATGATCTTGATGTCAAATCCCTAGGTCCAAACACCTTTGGACTCATGAAACAAGTACGCAAAGCGTCAAAGGTTGTTTTCAAAGGAACAGAAGCACTGGTGAAATTTGGAAAATCCGTAGAGACAGAAGGTGTTCACACTGCTAGTACTCCTATTATTATGGTGGTCGAGGAACATGTGGCGCCATCAATATCAAATATTAGTTTTTCATTTGAGGTTTCTGATGATGATGATGATGATGATGATGAGGAGGAGGAGGAGGAGGAGGATGTTCGTATGTTTGAATCATCAAAGGAGCTAGTTAACGAAGATGTGACTTCCCCAACTGATACAGAAAAAGAAATCAACATTTTCAAGAAACCGAACAATCCAATGTCCGAACAGATGGAAGCCCTTATCGAAAAATTACAGTTAACTGTGAGGAAGCCTTGCAAGCAGTTCATGTTACTACTGAATCTCCATCTGGGAGTGATAAAGACGATTCAAATGCCTTCGTGATGCTAAGAAAGCGAAGATGTAGAGATCCAAGGCCGTGAATGCTTATTACTGAGCCAATACAACGACCAACAACAAATGTTGAACCAGCCCAGGTTAATCAAGATGATCAAAGTCCAGTTGTTGAACCAGCCTAGGTTAATTATGAAGATCAAAGCCCAACTTTTGATAAAGACTTCTTAGCTAATGAGGAAACTTTTGCCTCGGGAAGCTCTTCTGCCCCACCATCTCCAAAGCACGATATGCATCTGTCAAGCTAGCCAAGCTACTTTCTTTTCAAGACTCTATTCCTCAGTGAAGAGGAAAGGGAATACATATTGGCTCAGGACAAGGAGGTGATGAAGATTCTCAACAAACCATTTCTGATATCAAACAAGAGATCGTAATTTTGAAGCATGAGTCCATTGAGAAGGACTTGTTGATTGGCAACTAGGATGCTAGAGTTTCTTAGCTTAAAAAAGAAAATTCTCAAAAGAGTAAGCAGATCTCAAACCATCAAGCCAATCTTGGTAGGTTGACAACTCTTTATTTAGATCTCAAAGAGAAATTAATTGGAAAATTTGGTGACGATTTCAAGAATTCAGGTTCTAATGATGGAAAAGCATCAGAGACATCTGAAAGGGCCATGGTTAGTCCTGCCCCAGATTCTAACGTTGACCAATTTTTGTCTTCTGGCCCTATCACAGATGAAGAAAGAAGGGGGAATCAGAGAAAAATTGATAAGCTGAGGAAAGACAAAATGCTTCTGATGAAAAACTCTGATCAGAATGCACCTAGTGATCACCCAAAAATGTTTATTAAAGAAATTAGAAAGAGGAAATTGCTGATAGATCTGGTGATCGTTCTGGAATTCTTATGTGGGGGATATGAAGCTGATAAGAAGATGTGGATTGTAAAGTGAAAGGTTGGAAACATTGAGTACTATGCGAAGAAGATTGGCTTTGTGTCTTGGATAAAAGTCGATCTTGTAGAGCTGGTCCATGAACTGTTCCACAATCCAACAAATGACCCCAAGGCATGGGCATTTAAGAAGTTCCAAGAAGACAAAGCGAAGCAGAAATTTGAAGGATTGAAAACAACGTCATTGTTCGTTAAAAAGGTCAAGGGTGTTACTCATCCACGCACTAATAAGACTATGGTGAATGTTATGTGGCCACCTACAAATAAAGCAAAAAGGATCCCTATCACTCAGTGTGTACCTAATGGCTCTTTGAATGACTTACTATATTGGGTATATGATGAGGCTACATCGATTGTCGTAATCAAGATGAAAAAGGATCAGATTCATCTTGTTGATTCTAAGGCTTTGTTGAAATTTGGCGAGCATGAAATTCATACATTATTCAAGCATCAACTTGTGGAGGAAAATGAAATGTTTGAAGCTGCTGCAAAGGATTTCACCAGCATGATAGCGACAATCATTGATAAGAGGCTGTGGGCAGGAGCATTGGCGAATTCTGATGGTCATCTTGTGGAGAACCCGTAAAACTAGCCAACAATAAACCAAAGCGGAGATTGTTGGGTCATATTTAAATGGTTTATGCTAGGCTTCTTGTTTATTATTGTACTTAGGCTTTGTTATGTTTATTGGTAGTGGGCTCATGGTGTTTTCGGTTATGGGGACCGAAATCACATAGTGATTTTGTTCAGCTTGGGCTTGGGCTAGTTAAGGCTTTGTACTAGGTTTGTATAAATAGTTTTTCAGCCGTTTAGGAGTTCTAGTTGTTGATCATTATTGTTTTTGGATGTTAAGAAGATCTTGGGGTAGCAGATGATTTCAACTAATAAATCATGTACATTGAGAGTTATTTATGTGTTTTTCAATCATTATCTGATTTATATTCTGCATTCTTTAGATAGTATGATTCATATTGTATTGATGAAACTGTTTTGGGACATACACGTTCGTTCATTTATTAAATAAACAAATATAAACAAACTTCCCGCCGAAATGTTTGCGAACAGTTCACTGAGCGTTTAGTTAGTTTAAAACCCTACATAGAAAAAACACATAAAAACCAACATTATATAATTATATTGGACGGATAAAACATTAAAAAAAAAACAACATTAAAAAATATAATTAAATAAAATGCCAAATATATTAAAATATTTTTAAACCACAAGAACAAGATAAATAAATAAAGAAAAAAGTAAATAATAATAATAATAATAATAATAATAATAATAATAATAATAATAATAATAATAATAATAATAATAATATGATTTTATATAATTTAGATGATTGATTTTAAAAATAAAATAATTTTATAAATAATCTATATCAATTTTATTAAAATAAAAATAAAAAAAAATTATATATATATATATATACACAATTGTTAAAAGAAAAAGAAAAAAAAGGAAAGACTAATTAATTTGATATTTTTATATGGGTCAAGGAACAACAATTGAATTTTCACAAATCATAGAAATGTAACCTATCAAATTTTAAACTTAGAAATCAAAACTTAGAATTCGATCGAACCACATGGACCATTTCTATAATTTACTCAAAGATAAAAAAAACACATATTTACTCATATTTCGATGTTGTATGGAGACTTCTACGCATTTAATTATTTATTTTATAAAATAAAGAAGTGAAATAACATGTGAAGGATTCACGCATAATGTTTTTAGGCTGTACTGAGTGGATGAATGAGGAGTTGGATAAAGAGGACGCGAAGAATGAGGTGTACTTGGTAAACACTGTCACTCTATCTCGGCTAAGCAAACAAACTTCTCTCTTTATCAATGGGATGTTGAACTACGAAAAGAAAAAAGGGTGCTTGGCTGAGGTGGATCTCGATGGTCTCGACACCACTACCCTTAGCCTTGTGCACATAACATTCAAACGTGATGGTTTTTAACATTAAAATATATTTTCTTTTGAAGCGTTGAATATTTACAAAAGATATAGTAAATTATTTTTATAACATATTCAAGTCAATATGATTCATGATCGATCTTTCATTTTAAACCAACATTAATTTGAAACTTCTAATTTGGCAATTTCTTCAACTTACATCTAATTAACCGATACAATTTATAAATTCTTTTTATGATTTTTATAATATCTAATTGTTATATATATATATATATATATATATATATATATATATAACAATTAGATATTATAAAAATCTATATATATAACAATTAGATATAACAATTATATATATATATATATATATATATATATATATATATATATATATGGTAATGGTAAGTTATAATGTGGACGTACAACTATTATGCATGTGTGGAGAGTGTTATTCTATAAAAATTACTGAAAAAATAAGTTTAGTAATATGAATATATTCAACCTCACATAATTATTGTCATTTCCCTTCATTCTCACTAATTCTTATTTATTTTTGTTCTCACACGTCGTTTTTCACTCATTTTCTTTCTTGTAAAATACGACACAATAAACATCCTGACAATATTTTGATAGAATGTGAATAATAAAAAAAAGAAGTCTATAATAACTTTATATACGATTTAATTTGTGAGAATGTGTGATAATAACAATAGTTATGTAATATTGAACGTATTTACATTATCAAACAATATACTTTATTTGTTATTCTCCCAGAATAATATTGTCAACATGTCCGCAGAATAGATGTCAATCCACATTCAAACCTAGCTCTCTTTCTCTCTGTATATATATATATATATATATATATATATATATATATAACATAACAAAATGGGGATGTTAGAGTTTATTAAGAAAAATAAATGAAACATAGATATTTTGTTTTGAAGGTGCATGTTTCTTTAGACTAAACTAGCAAGAAGGAAGATAATGAAATTAAAACAAATTAAAAGTTTGAAGACAATACTTAAATATAACTTGGAAGAATCCTATCCGTCAAAACCATTTTCTTATCAGCACATTTAACAATCATCGAATTATATCATTCTAAATGTAAGTTATCATTGGCGCACAAAAGATTCAGCTTACATCATGATTTTAGATATATAAATATTTGATTTAATAAAAACGATATATAATACATTGGATATCATTAATTTGTATTAACTAGTACATTTATTTTGTTTATCATTGTAAATTTTGAGATAATTCATATAAATGTTTAAATTTCTTTATATTTTTAATGTTTTATCATCTATATGTAACTGACTTCAAAAGATGATTATAATACTGTGTTTGGGTTTTAGAGGAAGTATTATTATTTTTATAAAATTCTATTATGATGGGCTTTTATATTTAATTTTGCATATTTTGATCAGATCTAAAGTTTTCATATTTATATCTAATATTTCAATATATTCTACCATTCCAATTTACTCATTCGCAATATGACCATATGAGCTTATTTTCATATATTAAGTTATAAAAACCACTTGCAAGGAGCTAGTAAAGTAAAACATTACATTAATTGGAAAAAAAGAAATTAGGTTTT